TCATGTGGGTGAGATGCTATGTTGTTCTTTTCATAAGACATCAGAACAGATTCACACAAAGGGCATACCAGGGCAGGGCATAAGAACGCAGCCATCTCAAAGTCAAAGAGAGGGAACAGAGAAGAAACTAACCCTGCCCACACCTTGATCTTGGATGTCTAGCCTCCAGTCATAATAAAATAAATTTATATCATTTAATCTGTGGTATTTTAATATGACAGCCCTAGAAAATTAATAAGTACTTCTAAATATGTTTCTGAAATTCAGAAGGAGAAAAGATTAATATATAGTGAACACCTTTTAAGGTGCTGAATTTTTCAAATAGGAATTTATTTAAAAAGCAAAATCAAGACTCTAAAAGAGCCTAGAAGTCTAATATCAAGCAAAAATAAAAGTATGATTTATTCCTGGTAAGTTGATGTGCATTTTACATTTGGCCAATACTAGATTTGTACAAATTTTTGTGCAACTTTTCATATTCCATACTGGTAAATCTGCCAAACTCAGCAAACAGCATTTTGTAAGGGACTGACACACATTATAAAATCATACATGGTAAGAAAATCCATTCAAGCCAGACATGGTGGCACATGCCTTTAATTCCAGCACTAAGGAGGCAGAGGCAGGTGGATCTCTGAGATTGAGGCTAGCCTGGTCTACATAGTGAGTTTCAGACTAGCCTTGGCTACAGGGAGACTTTGTTTTAAACAAACAAACCCATTCAAAGGGCAAGGTCAACTATAGTAGAATGTAACAGAGCAAAGACAGTTCAGACATGAATTTGTATTCTACATTGCAACTAACCTTTTAGAAACTATCACTTGAAGCTGGAGAAATAGCTCAGCAGTTTCAAGCAATGGCTGTTGTTGCAGAGGACCTGAGCTAACAACTGTCCATAACTCTAGTTCCAGAGGATCTGACATCTTCTTCTGGCCTCCATGGGCATTGCATATACAAGGTAAACAACATACATACAGGCAAAATACTCCCTCATAAAATACAAATAAATAAAATCTTAAAAAGAGAAACTACCATTTACTGAATTTTGGAAGTGTCAGAGGATAGTCACAATTATCTGAAAAAGATTGTTAAAAAAACACTCCTTTTCTTTTCCAGTTAAACATTAGCCAGATTATCTTCATGTATCAAACAAAACATGTTGCAAAAGACTGAACACAAAAACAGATGTTGAGAATCTAGCTACTTTAGGTCAATCCTTAAAGACTTCATAATATTACAAAATAATGGTATTATTGATGCTTTTGTTTTGAAAAAATTTAAGAAAACTATTCTATAGATAGAAGGCTGCGACAGGCTTACCATATTAATTTGAAATTCAATTTACAAGTTTTAAGGCACTTTCTTAGACTTAATTTCTAATACAGTAAATACCGGTAGTGCTGGCACACATAAAATCTCAGCTGGGTATGGTGGTGTACACCTGTGATTCCAGCATCAGAATGACTGAGGCAAAAATACTGAAAGTTTTAGGCTAGCCTGGCCTATATGGCAAGGCCCTGTCTCAAAAACCAGTAACAGGACTGGGTGAGGTAGAACCCACCTTTAATCTCAGCACTCAACAGGTGGAGGCAGGAGAGTCAGGCCAGCCTTGACCATATAGCTAGTTTGATACAAGTGTGTGCTGTATGAGGCTCTGTCTCAACTGCCCCACCTACCATCTGAAAAACAACAAAAGGAATAGGGCTGGAAATGTGGCTCACGGGCAGAACATTTGCCTGGCATGCTCAAGCCCCAGAACTGCCCCCAAAAATAAAAAAAAAAAGAAGGGGGCAAAAAGCCAAATTCTTTAAAGTTCCTGTCACGAAATGAATTCAGTCTCCTCTCAAAACCCATATGTTGAAGACCTAACCTACTCCTAGCATTTGGAGACAGAGTCTTTTTAAAACTTTTCTAAAACATTTATTTATTTTGTTTGGGGGAGAGGGCACATACATGCAATGGTGCACATGTAGAAATCAGAGGAAAGTCAACTTGCGGAAATTGGTGAGAACCAATTCACCATGTGGGATCCAGGGATAAAATTCAGGTTGTCAGTTTGGGCAGCAAGCAGGTTTACCTGCTGGAGTCATCTTACTGCCCTAACAACAGTCTTTAAAAAAGAAGTAACAGATTAAATGAGGGTTGCTTCCAACCCAATAATGAGACAGACAGATGAGGAAGACCCAACCTCACTAAGCATTGGCTAGGGATTGAACTTTGTTTGAAAAAGTTCACACCAGGCAACTGTCCCAGGCTAGGCAAGGCAAAGGTCTCATGGGAATCAGCGCCACTGTCTCCACAGTTCCTGAGTCAGTGGGGTTATGAATGACACTGCTGTTGCTATTGATAGTTTAGGATGTAGGGATGGCAGCAAGCACAACTGCAGACAGCCCCGCCATTTTCACCAGAGCTGGGGCAGCTGCTTCCTCCAAGGTTCCTTGAGCTTGTCCATCAGGACAGCCATAGCTAGTTTGATAACCTCCCTGAAGTTCATGGAAATCTGGACCCAGCAGCTACTTCCAGGAGACTTCAGACCAACCACTAATGCCTAAAGAGACTTTATTCCTGTCCTAGGAACCACTGCAACTGCCATGGCCACTGCACTGCTTAGGGAGACTTTGCTTCAGGTGTGACAGTATCAGATGACCCTTATCTGACTGGGTCTACAGCTACTCCAGAAGGACTACATAGAACCCGACAGTTTACTGGGAGCACCTCCCCTACTCATGGCAGCAGGTGCACACGTGTGACTGATTATAAAAACAGCAACTTCTCACTCTCCCCAGGAAGCTTCTGTCTTGTGCACAAGGTCTGGTACTATAGTCTATGCCTCAACACAGATTCATCCAAGGTTTTATTACCCTTTCGTGGCAGATATTATCATGGGTAGAGCAAGACAACTCTCAGCATATCCAGAAGCATTACCTAAGAGTCCAGACAGCAACCAGGAGCAGATCCAGAGAGCTAAGACTGCAGGAAGAGCTTCCTGGAAGCTCCGGCTTCTAGCTGGTCACTGGGAAGAGTTCCAGAAAGTCAGTTATCTCCAAGGATCTCTCACAGTAAGAGCTGAGGGTCCTGGCCCCCAAGCTAACAGCTGTAGCCATGACAACTGAGGTGCTGACACCAACAGCTTAGATACTTACTGACACTAAGGGAGTTGTAATTTGCCTATTCATGACTCCATGTGAACAGAGCAGCTGAGAGGCTGCTACTACAGTACTGGTGTGTGTGTGGGGGTCCTTTTAACAGGAAGAACAGGAAGTTCTTCTGAGCTCTCACAGGAAAAATGTGAGTGAGGCCACCGTGAGATGCTCACATCTGCATACCAGGAAGAGAGGCTGTACCTGGAACCAACCCTACCTGCACCTTGATTTTGGACTTCCAGCCTCTAGAACTGTAAGAAAATTCATATCTGTTACTTAAACCCTCCAGTAATGAATTGCAAGAAATAATACTTGAAAGAGGTCCTGAGATAAAAGTTTTTGAAAACTATTGAGACAATAGCCCTTTGGTTGTCTACATTATCTGTAAACAATACTATTTCCTATTGTAACTTTGGAAAGTAATCATAATTTTCATTAGTTATTAAAAATAGGAAGAAAAAAAATCAGACAAGATCATCTTTAAAACTTTTTACTGGAACAGAGAGGTAGCTCAGTGGCTATAAGCACCTGTCACTCAAGAGAAGACCTGAATTTGATCCCTGAAGCCCATAGTGGGTGGAGAGAACTGATGCCTGAAAATTGTTTTCTGACCTTCACACACATCTACAACTCACACAATAATAATAAATAAAACTAAAACGTTAAACGCCTGTTTTTACGTGAGGTATGTAACTTATACATGATCTAAAAGCACATGAAAAAGCACATGAAAATGTGAAAGATTAACAAGGCTACTTTCATTTTCAGGAAACCAGCCTTGTTCATGCATTTGATGAGCACACAGACTATCCTCAGAGAAGGTGATGAGTCTCTTAACATTCTTTTTTTTTTTTTCTGAGACAGGATCTCCATGTAGCCCCAGCTGATCTGGAACTTGCTATGCAGACCTCCATCTCTCAGAGAGCCTTTTGCCTCTGCTTCCCAAGTGCTGGGATAAAAGGCGTGTTACCATGCCTGGTTTTCAATTGACTTTCTGAATACAAAGTCAGAGAGACATACAAAAATAACAGCACACTTTAGATTTTGCTTTAAGGGAGAAATAAAATAGTCAAATAGATTATCAGATTTATAACCACCAATCAGTGGACTGAAAAATACACTGAGTGCAATTTTTAACCATCTAAAACTTACACATAGTAAAGTTAATGGTAAAGTGTCAATAATTACTAATAGTAAGAAACATTCAATACATGAAAAATAGTTTTGATATCCTGGTAATTAGAGTTGATATAGTGAAAATTGGCAACAAAGCTGTGGAAGTCATCTACCAAACACCATTTTTAGTTGTACTAGGCCTTTAAGTAAGTAAGTTATAAAAGGCTTAGGTGGATGAAAAACTATCTCAATGAGTTTTTGAATTTTGTTGACACAAGTATGTTGGTGGATTGCTTTTAAAGCAGCAAATTCTGTACTCAAGTGCAACTGTTCTTTGCGGAGTATTTACTCTAATCTAAAAAAGCCAGCTAACACACTTAATTTTTAAGACTTTAAATCCCAGAGATAGCATTCAAAATTAATTCAATAAATTTCACTTCACATAAGTTTGCATGAAAAGACTAATTCAACTTGAGCTAACTTTTCTCAGTTTAAGTTTCATATGTAAAAGTAATTATGTAGTCTGTTTGGAAAAGTATAATCAATCCATGGGCATGCAAGTATCACTTTTATCTTATGAGAATTTCCCCATGTTCCAGTTACTTCGTTCCTTATTACATGCTGGCGAAAAGCAGTCATACTTTTTATAGCCAAATATCACTTCAGAGGATACCAGGTGGTTTTCAATATTTACCATGTAAGTCATGCATGAAATTTAAACATTACAAAAAAATGACTTACCAGTTGACACTCCTGAAATATGCACATTTTCAGAATGTTCTGCAAGAGCACCATTTCCTAAAATTAAACATAATGAATAAACTAATTTCCAAGATAAAATTTATACAAATTTTCTATAAATTTCAGATCCTTCTCTTTTTAACTTAAAAAAAAACTTTGAGAATTTCATACATGCATATAAGGGGTTTTGATCAAATCCACACCCACTCCCTCCCCTCCAACACCTCCCATATCTCCCCATTACTTTTTTCTGACAACTTTGTATACTCTTTTTTTCTTTCTTTCTTTTTTATTATTTTTAATTTTTTTTAAATGGGGCTTTTTGCTACTCTAATCTGAAGAGGTAACCCTAAAATCTTTTAGGGATACGATCTCCCATATACTTTTTGTCATTTTTGGCTTTTGGAACAGAGTATGTTGCTAAGAGGCCCAGGTACATTTTGACTTTTAGACAAGAAACTGGCTACTTTTCTTTGGGGTCTTTTTACCCTAACTGCCTAGCCAATTCCTACCTCCTATTCTTATCACGCCACCTTCTCAAGAGGTTACCCAAATTGCTGATAGGGAATCGGGACGCAGACTGCTCTGGCTTCTTCCATGCTGAACAGGGACACAAGGTGAGGCAAATGGAGTACCCCTTCAGTGAGTCTATTGAAAAGACTCCTGAATTGCCTAACTCTTACCTGTCTTTGACTTGTGAATAGGGGATGTGAAGGAGAAGTAAGATCCTTCTTTTAGAGATACAACTGTACAGAGGAACTATTTTCAATACTATTAAAAAATAGTAAGAAAAACATTTTGGAAGTCACAACAATATATTGTACTATAATGATCAAATAGAGATCTGATTAACATAAAGAATTTTTAAATCAACTATTCCTCAAAAAGGAACTCAGGACTCCCATTAGAAAAGAGCAAATGACTATTTAAGACAATTCTTAGAGCATGTCCAGTCAGCTGCAGTATCTTCGGTTACCAGGAAAGCCATAGATGTTAGTACCTTTAAAAAGGTCTTTCATTGTCTTATAAATCTTTTCTCATCAACGACTAATAGTTTCTTTAAAAATATACTATTTACTTTTTAAAATATTTTATTATTTTTATGTTATGTGTACGATTGTATTGCCTGCATGTATGTGAGTGTACCCGTGTTGTGCAATGCCGCGGAGGTCAGAAGAGAGCTTTGGATTCCCCTGGAACTGGAGTTAAGGATGGTTCGAGGCAAGGTCCTCTGCAAGAGCAGTCAGTGCTCTTAACCTTTTAGAGCAGTCAGTGCTCTTAACCACTGAGCCATCTCTCAAGTCCCTTATTTATTATTTTTATGTGTATGTGTGTATTGCCTGCATGTAGGTAAGCACACCTGTGTCATGAAATACCTGCAGAGGACAGAAAAAGCTGTCGGATCCCCAGGAACTGGAGTTACAGACAGTTGTTAGCTGCCATGTGGGTGCTGGGATTCAAACCCGGGTCTTCTGCAAGAATAGCCAGTGTTCTTAACCGCTGAGCCATCTCTCCAGCCCCAACAACTAATAGTTTTAAGAGCACTGCTTTTTGATTGGATTTAAGGCCTGCTTCACAAGATGGAGTCTATACCTGGTACTGCTGTCAGGGTCAAGAACCCCTAGCCACACAGGTCACAGGCCAGAAGGGAGAACCTTCCACTATTATCCTGCTAAACAGACATAGTATTAAGCTGACTCTTGGTGACTTACTGCTATACCCACGGATCAGTACACCTCTCAACTCTCACCAGAGAAGCTTCTTTTTGCACCAGATGGAAATTAACAATGAGACCCACAACTGGCCAACATGTAGAGAATAAGAGATTGCAGAGTGACTGGCTCTAAATGGGACATGTATATCACACTTTCTCCAAAGTTCAGGGGTCACTGTGGAAGAGGAAGTAGGAAGACTGTGGGAGCCATAGGTGGTTGATGCCTACAAGAAAACCATGTTTTCTGGATACAACAGGGCAGCTGCAAATATGAAGATGCAGCACTTGTCACAGCATGTACAAGACCTACATAAACCCAAGCCAGATAAAAACCCAGAATGGAGGGGAGAGACAGGCAGGAAGCCAAAGGCCTAACTGAGGATCTATTGGCAACTGATAGCTGCTGGGAGAGGGAGAGTCAGTTTTCTTTAAAAGTGTGATGCCAAGTAGGTTGACTAGGGTGCAGACAACGTACCCACATCCAAGAGCATTTGGGAAGCACAAATTGGATTTGACAGGCTTTTAAAAAGTAATAGAAGACATGAAATGAGGGGGTGAGTAGGGAAATGGGGATGTGTCTGAGCGGAGACAGGAAGGGGGTCTAATATGATAAAAATACATTGCATGCAATTCTCAAAAAAATCAATAAAATATTATTAAAACTTATATCCCACTTTGGAAGTCACTGATTTCTATACCTTCTGCAGAGGTAGACACATAGAAGCACGCATGTAATTTACTGGATATTACTTAATAAAAGTGTGATTTAAAAATATTCTTTTTTAAAAGTACTAAGGATATTTGAGCAATCAAATTAATGTAAACGAAAGTATTCCCTTTTAAATATATTTTCATTGTATTATAAACTATTACCATCTAATATCACCCCCCCACTGCCTTCCCTCCCCTTCATGTGCTGGAATATAAACTGGAATATATTATTAAATATACAGTCCTGCATCTGTTTGAAAACAAGACAGTCAAAAGAAAAAAAACTATAAACAATGGGGAATTCAGCTAAATATCAGGCTAGAAATAAGCACAAAGAAAATGAGAAACTTCATAAATCTAAAATGCCAATCAGAAGATATAGCACATAAGAGCCTAGTTTTTGGTAACACACATGTTAAAAATTCAAACACAGGACTCCTGCTACTATCATGACTGGAACTGATAATAAACCAGTAAGTCCACTGTGAACAATGTAAAAGGGTAGGGGAAATGTGAATAAAATTCAGGCACTAGACAGTAGTCTACGTAAGACTGGCTGCTGAGAAAAGAGGCAACTCAGGAGCCCTACTACTGCACAGGCTTTCTGTCTGGAGGTTTCCTGGAACAGGACACACTCAAGCAGAGCACAGAGACCTTAGGCTGGGAAGAAAGAGACTGGTTTAGAGAGGTAGTAGCAACAGTCAGAGTGTGATAGGGTAGAACCTTGCAAAAAAATTACCCCCCAAAGAGTCCTAGTCTCAGACTGACTACAAAGCTGTCTATGTGTATAATGAGTCTTTCCAAGGACAAGGTAGAAGTTAAAAACACTTCCTCTCACCAAGTGGGAAAAAGCTGAAGTTCTGACCTGCAGTGCACACCTGGGTATTAGCGGTAATCAGAGCAGCCACTTGAACATTTTCTAAAGGCTACTTATCATTTCCCTAGTGAAGCTTTAACATAAGCTCTACTGGAATGCTCAAAAATCTCTGGTAAGGGCCAGCAAGACAGCAAGTGTTAGGTAAAGGCACTTGCTACCAAGCCTGATGACAGTATTTCTATCCCAGGTACCCACATGGTGGAAAAAGAACTGACACTCTCAAGTTGTCCTCTGACCTCCACACTTGTGCCATGGCACATGGGCGTGTGAGTACACACAGACACATACACACATACACACACACATACCACAAAATAAATAAATAAAATGTAATAAAAATACTTTAAAATAAAATAAATTGAGGTTGGGTATGGTGGTACACACCTTTACTCCCAGCACTTGGGAAGCAGAGACTGGTGGACCACTGAGAGAATGAGGCCAGCCTGGTCTACACAGCAAGTTCCAGGCTAGCTGGGGTTCCTGTCTTCAAACAAACAAACAAACAAACAAATCACCCAGACAACAACAGTAAATAAAGAAATAAGTGAATAAATAGCTGGAAAACAGTTTCTTTCTTTTCATGATGGCTATATATGTATATGACTTAACAATTCCATATCTATGTAAGGGAAAAGAAAATATATCAAACAATCAAGCAAGCAAATCCTAAGAAGTACAAACAATTTCATACTTTATGGGCCTGTTACATAAAGTTCTTGAAGGAAATGTAACAAGCACTTAGGAACTGCTTTTGCTGAACAGCACTGATTCCTCACTTGGGCCCATAAGGAAACTAAAAGCAGGATGAAAGCCTGAGACTTCAGTCTAGCTTCATGTCTGTCTGCTTTACTTTGGCTCTGATGCCTAAAACTGTACAAGCATGTTATCACTTAGTGAGTGGCTGTCTACCTAACTGATCTCACCCCCTGTCACTGTCCTAACTCTGTAGTCACCCTGGACTCCAGGAGCAGCAGAGCAAGTAAAGTGGAAGCAGTCATCTCCGAGGAGTCGGACTGCTCCCCTCAAGTGATGACAGTGACAACTTCTTTGGACTATCTTTAGAACCAGAAGGATGACAATGATCACTGGTACCATGTCCTGACTAGATCCCTTAATTATGCACACCTCTTGTCCCTGCCCCAATTCTTTCTCTACTCAAAACTGGAGCTTATTCCAGTACTGGGGTCACTGGAACCTTTGTTTTCTTTCTCCATGCATTGATTAAATTTTCTTTCTGCTTTTCAGCATTTCTCTTCTCTTTGATTAGAATACTGGCATGGGTGACTGAGCCTGGCCTGCTGGGGCTGCTGGAGCTGGGGCTTTTGCCATAAAATTCCAGTTGCAGAAACGCTCTACTATAGGGCAGAAAGATTAACAGTTGCTTAATCTTTGGGAAGTATGGACAAATGACTTGTAAAAGGGAATGAGAGAATTGTTCAGGGGATGACCTATTCTGTACTTTGAATGGGGATGTTATATGCAAAATTTACCGAAGTATAACCTCAAAATGTATGCATGTTATTGCATGCAAGTTTTATCTCAGTAAAGTTAATGTTAAAAAGATATCAGCAGGCTGGACTCTAGATAAGATTTGATTCAGAGATCTAGCTTCCATGCTCCCTAATTCAATTGGTCATATGTTGGAATCTAACAAAAGGGATGCAGCAGTTCCATACTCACCCCAAGAACAGAGTATTTGTGATGAAGGCATTTTTAAAAAGAGGAAAGGGTAACTGGGTGGCAGACAAATGACAAACCACTATTACAGCATTTTTATCTCCTAATAAAACATAATTCAGGCTCCTTTTCAATTTTAACTTCCTCTACCCTTCTAGTCACCAAACTCACTGTTCTCTCTCCCATTTAAAAATAACAATAGGGGCTAGAGATGGGGTTCAGTGGTTAAGAACACTGACTGCTTTTGCAGAGGATCTGGGTTCAGTTCCCCCTGCACTCACAGAGTGGCTAGCAACTCACTGTAACTTCAGTTCCAGGGGATCCTATGCCCTCTCCTGGCCTCCATGGGAATTGCATGACACGTGGTGCACTTACATACATGCAGGCAAAACATTCATAACATAAAATAAAAATAAATTAATAAAAATAACAATAAAATTTCCTCAAGGTTCAATTAAATGTTAACTCAGCTGTAAAGCTGTGGGATGCCACTAGTGAGAAATGACTTTAAAGCTCCTATGACAGCATTTTGCATTCTTTAATGACCTAACAGACTAAGTCATTAACGATTAATAGCTACAACATTAGAATAAAGAGGTAAGAAGACATGGCAGGACTCTGAGTGGCAAACCAAACTTCGCCAAGCTTTCACTTAATGCAGTATTGTGGAATAAAACTTTCTACAAAGATGAAAATGTACCACAGAGGCATTATCTAACTGGGTAGCCTTTAGCCACCTGTGAGTGTTGGTCATTTGAATTGAGGGTAGTGTACCTTAGCAAATAAATTAATCTGACTTAATTTTAATTAATTCAACTTTAAATTTAAAATAAGCTCCTGTGGCTAGTGGCTATGTTAGACTTTTAGTCCTAAATCCAATTACCTATTTATACAAAAGGCAGAGGACAGTAACTGTTCTAAATTTCATTGCTAAGATAAACTCAGCAAACTCCAGACTGAAAAATTGTAAAAACAGTTTCTTCAATAAGTATTTTATAGTTTAAAAAAAAAAAAACCTCAACATTCGGGGCTGGAGAGAGAGCTCAGCAGTTAAGAATACTGACTGTTCTTGCAGAAGACCTGGGTTCAAATCCTAGCACCCACATGGCAGCTAACAACTGTCCGTAACTCCAGTTCCAGGGGATCCGATAGTCTCTTCTGTCCTCCATGGGCACTGCACGACATGGGTGCACTTACCTACATACAGGCAATACACGCATACACCTAAAATAAAAATAATAAAATATTAAAAAAAACAACATTCAAAAGTTTATGATTTAACTTATAGATTGAAAAAAGCCTAAACAAAGCCATCAAGAAATTACTAAGCATGACCCTATTTGGATTCTTCTTCATAAATACTTAAGAATTCGAGGGTTATATTTAAATTTGAATCTAGTTGGAGTCTTCAATAAAACTGAGGGGAAAACTCACAATAAACTGCAAGCATCTGTGTTCATTAAAAATGAAACCATCTATCCAGGAGTGGTAAAAGCACACCTTTAATCCCAGCACTCAGGAGGCAGAGGCAGGTGAATATCTGTGCGATAGAGGACAGCCTGGTTTACATAGCAAGTTCTAGGCCAGCTGGGGCTATAGGCAGACCCCATCTCAAAGACTGAAAAAAAAAAAAAAAAAGAAACTATCTTTATTTTTTAGAAATGTACATTAATAGGTGAAATAAATGATGCTTGGTGTTTATTTCAAAATATGAGAGGAAGAGCATAACAGGCAGTGAGTGGGACAGGAGACCGGCTCTGTTCATGGTGGCTGGGGCTTGGGTTTGTGGTACATGTATAATTTATTATCCTACCTGAAAGTCTTCATTTAACAATATGAAAATGATTTTTAAAAAGCCTCAGTATTTTATACTTATGATATAGCACACAAAATATTCTGTTTTAGATTTTTGCAAATGATCTAAAGCAGACTGGTGTCCTAAGGGCTAGCCTTTTATATACGATTTCAGTCTCCTCAATATTTTAATCTACTATCTTAAATGTGTAAATTATATAAGACATTTCTCATAATTTAATAGAGTTATAAACTTCATTCCAATTTAATTGTATAGAAAGGAAGCAACTGCAAGAAGCCTTGTAGGTTATTATGTTAAACTACATGAGATGATAACAAGGTAAGAAGTGTTCAAATGCTGGTCCTAGACTCCCTCAGTTCTGACACGTGATAGCCTGACCCGTCATTTGTGAGGATATGCATATAGGAAAAAAAAAGTCAGGCAAATACATATACCTTTTAAAAAAACTACTAGTGAGGCTTCTACATATAAATTCTAGGTGATCTGCTAGACAGGCCAGTTTGATAGTGGAAGGCTCTTTCTGCTTGGGGTACTTAGGGTAGGTCTGACATGTAGAGCCAACATACACAGAGTGGCTACTTCCTTTCTCAGAACTGTGATTGACTCCTGGCTTTCTGTTAAATGAAGTCCTTAGGGGTTGGACCCTAATTTAAGACTGGCATCCTTTTAAAGGGGAAGAAGTACCAGAGCCCTTCCTTTATCCATGCATTGAGATGAGACCATGAAAGAGCAAAGAAAGGCACTGAAGTCACGAGATGCCTCAGCAGAGTCAACCTGACAGCATCTAAGTCTTGGACTTTCAGTATCCACAGCTATGAGAAAACAAATGTCTCTTCTTTAAGTGCCAATTTGGCATTTTGATATGTTAGTTCAAATATACTAATACACTATTCTTGGGTTTATTTAAAACTGTTTATAAATTCTTTAAAAATGTTTGAAGAATTCAGTCTAATACTCTGACGAAAGGCTCCCTAGTATCTAACAAATGGTTAAAATGAGATATTTCACACACAAAAAGGTTAAGATTAGATTTTCCTACTTCATGTAACTACTGAAAATCATTAATTATCTTATGTCTATAACTTTTTCATTAAAATCTTCAGCTACAGATTTTATGAACTGGTCAAAATCTACTTCACACTTTAAATAACAGTAATTATTATAAGGTACTTTTTCTGGAAAAGACACTATAGGTATTCCATAGTATTATCTTCATAAGATCTTATTTGAAATATCTTAAAAATAAGGGTATGGGGGCTAGAGAGATGGTTCAGTGATTAACAGCAGTTGTTTTGCAGAGGATCCCAGTTCAGTTCCCAGTACCCATGTCCTGTAGCTTACAACCGCCTGTAACTCCAACTCCCAGGGGATCCAACAGCTCTAGCCTCTGCAGGCACCTATACTCATGAGCACACAGCTATACACAGTCACATTCACATACACATAACTAAAAAGAAAACAAATCTCAAAAAACAAGGGTATGATGACAATGCTATTCAGAGTACAAAGACTAAACAGCACAAGCTCCCAGTATTCATAGAATGAACCACATTCCAGAAGAGCATACAAAGCTCTTTATGACTTCTACTGCTGAGCATCTCAGAAAGTGTTCACACAGATGGAAATAATTTTTATTCTAAAATTAGCTTAAACTACTGGTATAAGAACTCACAACAAAGAAGAGGAATTTTAAGATGATATGAGTCCAATGATTCCTACCTATGTATGACTCCTGTGATTTGTAAGAGTAATACAGGGGCTGGAGAGATGGCTCAGCAGTTAAGAACACTGGCTGGGCTGTTCTTACAGAAGGCCTGGGTCCAATTCCCAGCACCCACATGGCAGCTAACAATTGACTGTGACTCCAGTTACAGAAGATCTGACACCCTTTTCTATCTTCTGTGGGCATTGCATGACACATACATGCAGGCAATACACACATACACAGAAAATAAAAATAATATATAAAATACTAAAAAAAAAAGAGTACTATAAAGGTTTGAAGGAATTCAGAATTCCAGGAAAATAAAAGGAATTGCTTATCTACACTTCTTATATTAATATCTTTATTAGGAAATATTTCATATATCATAAAATCTTTTTTAAAATATATTTTTTATGTGTATGAATGTATTGCTTGCATGTATGTAAGTGTATCCATGTTGTGTAGTGTACCCAGAGGCCAGAAGAGGGTGTTGGATCCCCTGGGACTGGAGCTACAGATAGTTGTTAGCCACCATGTGGATGCTGGGATTCAAACCCATGTCCTCTGCAAGAGTAGCCAGTGCTCTTAACTGCTGAGCCATCTCTCCAGCCCCCATAAAATCTTTTAAAAGTACACAATCCAGTGATTTAAAACTACAGTCAAAAAGATACACAACTAATACCACTATGTAATACCTGTACATTTTCATTACCCCTCCAAAGAAAACTTGTACTCCCCTTTCCTCAGTCCCTAGCAACAACTAATCTACTTTCTGCCTCTATCAGAACAGGGCTGCCTGGTCATTTAAATATATGAAAACATCTATGTTCCCTCTGCTTCATTCTCTTTTATGCCTCAATAATAGTTCATCATTGGACATGCATATTTTATTTATTCATCAGCAGAAAGACTGAGTACTCTCTAGTATATGTATAGAATAGAATTGGTGAGCATATGGTGACCCCACGTCCACTGTTCTGAGGTTCTACCAAACTGTTTTCCAAATGGCTATATCCGTTTACATTTCCATCTTCGAAGCAGGAGAGTTCGGTGTCTTCATATCCTTGCCAGTACTTGTGGCCCTCCATCTTTGGGGCTGTGTGTGTATTGCACGCATATGATTATATAAGTGTGTTGCACCCACTGACACACATGTGGAGTCCAGGGGAAGGCCTCATGTGTCTTCTTTCCTTTTCTGCCTTATTGGCTTAAGACAGGGTCTCTCACTGAAGCAGAAACTTGCCATTTTAGCTAGGGCAGCTCATTCGTGAGCTCTTAGAAGCTGCCTGTCTCTATGCTGCAGTACTGGGGTTACAGGCCTGTACAGCCATGCCTGGCTTTTTATGTGGGTGCTGGGGATTTGAACGCAGGTCCTTATGCTTGTAGAGCAAGTGCTCTTATTCACTGAGCCATCTTTTTACCATCTTTTTTAGTCATCTTACTGGGTGTAAAGTGGTTATTTCCTGACCTTAATTTTCATTTGCCTATTGGATAATGATAATAAGGTCTCTTCATAAGCTTATGAGTTATTTGTATGCACCCTTTAGAGAATGTCATTCAAATCTTTTGTCTCTATTAATTGGTTGAACCGGCTTTTTTTTTTTTTTTTTCATTACTGCTGAGTTACAAGAGTTCTTCATACACTGTGGGTAATAACTTCTTGGTCACACAAATAATTTACAAATATTTTGTCTTCTACAGTTTGATTTTTTCACTTTCTTCATGATCTTGTGAAGAAGCAGTTTGTTGAGGCAGCACGGTGTACTTAATTTTTCCTTTAGGTGTTTGTGCTTTGGTCATCATTTGTAATCATATTTATATAGTACTGCTAGACTCAGTTTGCTAGCATTAGGTTACATGATTTTTGCATCTACATAGATAAGGAAAATTGATTTGGGCTTTTTTATTTTTTGGTATGAGGGCAATAAAACCATCACTGGATGAGCTAGATACAGTTTATTTAAGACACATGTGTTTATACGTTATATATACATACATATTTAAAAGCTAGATGCTGTTACTTGTATTTTGCTCTCACTTAAAGTGAGGCTTAAAGTGTATATTTTGAAATACTGCTTTTGCATAAAATTCATTGATTTCCAGAGCCCTAGCAGGTCTATCCAGTGCTGTAGCCTCCACCACAATCAAGACAACATTTCCATGACCCAAAAAAGCTCTCTAGTGCCCTTTGCAGCCAATCCCCATTCAGCACTCCTAAAGCCTGGCAATCACCAATCACAGTCACCATGTAAGATGCATAATGCACCACACTGAACTTAGATGTATTATTAAATCTCCCTCCTGAAGTTCTAAAGATATCATTATCCCCATATCACAGATGACAAAAATGACCTAGGGTAAGTAACTTGCCCAAGTCTTCCGGCTAATAAGTGGTAGGTAGGGCCAGATGTAATTCTAATCTACTTAATCTCAACATTAAAAATAGTTTTCATTCTCCACTACTTGCCCTTCTGGTGAATCTAGTCAGCCTATCTAGAGGTCTTTGTTAATAAATCATTGGCTTTTAATGAAAAACTTTTAATGTCTGTCTACATGTATTTTAGTAAATATACTTGCTGAGCTCATTTATGGCTGACCTCTTTTAAAAGAAAATGTTTAGGGGCTGGAGAATGGTTCAGTGGCACATACTGATCTTGCAGAGGACCTGAGTTCAGTTCCCAGTACCAACATCAGGCAGCTCAA